CTGTTTTGTCGGTGCTAGCGACAGTTATCAGAAGTCCTTCAAAGACTCTCAACCTTAGAAGCGGAAGTCTCTTTTCTGAAAGAAAAATTAAAATCATGTCATGGAGGTAACCAAATCTCTGATGTCAGTGACCAAAGCAGTGAGTATAAAATGGCTTAAATGGATAATGTTTATTATTATACCTCGACTGTAATTTCTCTATATAAAATTAATACCATAAAACTGTCTATTTCCCTGAGAAGAGACTACTGTTCTCAACTGACGGCTACTCCCTGGAAAATCAGAGCTACTCCCTGGGACTACTCCCTCATGAATATTTATTAGTAATTTTAACCAATCAAAGTGTTCAGTAGGCGGAGCGTTCAAGGAATCTCGAGTCTGTGAAGTCATGTTATTAGCCTTGTAACTATGACGTCAAAACATTTCGACATATGATGTCAAAATCATACTTGAATTCTGGCAAAATGAAGACAACGATAATTCTTCGAAATGTCAATGAAAATACTCTTTAAAAATAATTTAATTGTTTTGAACACGATGCATTACTTGTCATACAATGTGTTAAACCGCATGAATTTGTAATTATGCCTCTACAGTGTGTTTTGTTAAATGTCGGAATATCTGGTAAAAAAAAAATTGCCTATGATTGTTTCGGCATAATAAAACAGTTATGGAATGGGAATTCGGGAAATAGCAAATTTATGATTCCCCTCGGCAGGACCATAAATTTGCTATTTCCCTCGTACCCATGCTATTTCCCTCGTACCCATTCCATAACTGTATAATATGTTCGAAGAATAGGCAATTTTGCATATTGAAATTAAGCTTACTATTTTTATTTTAGTCTTCTTAGTAAAATTAATAGATTTATTGGAAACTTACAATACGTTTAAAGTTCACTTACTCAAATGACTCACTGGATGGCAGAATGTAAATGTATATTTTTCATTTGTAGCAAAGAAACAATTCAGTAAAAACTAATACATTTTTGACAAGATAAAATATAGGTTTATTTTTTGGTTTCGACAGTGTGGTGAAAAATAATTAAAACACATATACTATTTTAGTGGAAAAAAGGACTGTGCCTCTAGGACAACCGTCTCAAGTCGCCTTCCACGCTCATCTTTAGGAATACACCAAGCCATCCACTTCAATAAAGTTCTTCTAAACGAAGGTCAAGGCTATTTGGCCGATGCTGGGGAGTTTGTCGCACCGGTACCTGGTTTGTATGTGTTTTCTTGCAAGCGGGGAGCGAACTTGTATGAAATATGAATTTGTTCAGAACAGTGAGGTCTTAACGTATTCTATAAGTGATGCACATGAACACGATGACTGGGCCGTTTCGTCTGGAACTGCAGTCACACGTATGAACTCAGGAGATCGTGCCTTGATAAGAACCTCTTATTTGGTTCCGTGTTCTCACACCGTGTTTGGCACTGGTTTTGGTACTTCGTCTTTTACCGGGTTCTTGTTAAATTAAAATGCGTTCAAGTTTACAGATGATATGAATTATTTGTTTAACCATGAATAAAAATTGTTTCAGCGCATTTGTTCTACATGTGCAGTGATATCCACATCGAACAAGATATTTTTAACAATTTCTACAAATGATGACCATGTTAAAATTCATGCAGTAATTAAGATGATTTTTTTTTCGATTTTCTTTAATTAGGGAACTTATCAGTTCGACTGGAATCAATTGTTTTAAACTTAAAATAACTCTTGTAGAATCGCCTACATCATAAATAGTTAAATACCTGGTACAGGTCATGCATTCCCTGTTCTCAGTATTTCTTTAAAAATAAAACAAGCAGTAAAATCATAGTCAAATAAAACTTTGAAAAGGCACCGTCGCTCGCATGACGCAATGGTAAGTAACTTCTGCTCTAGAGTCGTGAGGTGAAGAGCTGATCCTTACATCGGCGATTCGAATCCACTGCTGGGACGTAGAGACCAGCTCTTAAACATAAAATCGGAGGTCCCGTGTAGCAGTAGATGTTGGCACGAAGAAAATCCCCAATTGCCTAATGACCTTAAGAACCGTATATAGGTACAAGTTTACAGACCTCCACCAGCAAGTTGGTGGAGTCTTCTCTATATAATTGTTAGTATTCGTGTTCATTCTTCACCTCTAGTTCTGTTGGACACGCCATAACTGCTGATTTGAATACTAGTACGTTACAATAATGAGGACCTTAAAACACTTTTAAGGGACCCCGATCTATCAACTTGCATCAACTAGAGCAACCTCAAATCTTATTTAAGGTTTCGTCAAAGGTCAACATGACTAAAAAAATTATTTTTACAATAGCTCCAAAACTATGTGTGGTATAAAGTCAAAACGTTTAAAGTTTACAAATATATCATTGATTAATAGATAGAAAGTATCGCTTGATAACAAATGTTTTTAAAAAGATATTTTTTGAGAAAAATTGTGTCAGAAAATGTGCATATTTAAAGAAAAGTGCACCTGCTTAATTATGTCTTTTTTGTGAAAACCATCATTGCAGAAATGATATATGTTTATCATTGAAGAGCAAGTTGGACGTGAATGGTCTCTGAAAGGCTGTTATTGAAAGCATGACATGTATAAAGACAAGACTCCTATAAAATACGCCATTTGCAATGTACTTTCACTTTCAAGTCTTAACATTTGGACAAAATAAACAGGGAAAACAACTTTCCAGAGGCTATCCAAGTCCAACTTGCCCTTCATTGATAAACGTATTTTGTTTCTGCAATAATGGTTTTCACGAAGAGCGCGGAATTAATTAGGTGTATTTTTTGAAAATATATGCATTTTTAAGAAGAATTTTTTCTCAATGAATATTTTTTTCTCGTATTTTTTTTATCAAGGGATACTTTCTATCTATTAATCAATGATATATTTATGAACTGTTAAAGTTTTAAGTTTATACCCCACATAGTTTTGGGGCTATTGTAAAAATAATTTTTTGGACATGTTGACCTTTGACGAAACCTTAAATTTAGTCTCTCGGTTGATTCGATACGTAAGAATATGCTCTGATTCAATCAATTTCTAAAACGAGCGAAAGGTATTTTTTTTCAACAAGTTGATGAAACAGGAATATCAACAATTTCGGTTAAGGTCATCATTTTGCAAGTTCTATAGGCGAGACAATTAACTTGTCAGGAAATACAACCAGTCAATGAGACGAATGCTTTCATAACAGTTGTGAGACCATTATTTACACAATTTTCTACGGATTTTCCGTTTTCATGATGGGAACAAGGAACACACAGAGGGTGTGATCGATTGAGAGGGGATAATTGTTCTTCCATGGCACCTGATTCCACGTCTAATGTTTTAGAAATCCGTGTTTGCTCTGCTTCTGACTTGCATTGTTGCAATGACTTCTGAGCTTGAATTCTGTTCATATATGTATCTCTTTATTTCATCGATTACAACCCAAATGGTTCAGATAATTATCTTACATAAAATGCTTTATAAAATTTCCTTCTGCAAAATCTGTTTTGTATATAAATACAATTCCTTTGTTATTATTTTATATCGATCACATTTCTTTACCTATCATGAATAATTTGATTCTTATGAGCGTATTCACCCTGCAGTATAGATTTTCTAAATCTAATCTGAAAATGTTTAATTTCCATTAAATGATATGCGCATCATTTTGTTTCAGTTGACACGTATCAATGTGGTTTTAGCAAAATTCACAATAATTCAATGTATGCAGAATAAAGACGTATAATTAACTAACCCCTAAATGACAATGTCAAATCGATTGTTTTAAAATGTTTTGTTTGCAACTCATTATTATTTGAAGTATACATAGTTTTTATATTTACGCTATATTTTTGAGAGGTTTTGAATATTGAATGAGTGAAAAAAAGTTGATGGAAGTAAGTATGTAATTTTAAAATTATATTTCAATAAGATGGAGAATGCTTTTTTGTAGGACTTTACATTACATGTTTTTATACTTTATTTAATTCAAAGACATAATCAAAGATGCTTTTTGAGCTTTGTCACTGACATCAAACGAAATAAATCTTTCATACTGCCTTTTAAACAGTTATTTAGTCGATGAAAAAAAATCTTAAATAAAATTATTTCCTATGAAAAATAAATCTTTCATGAAAAGTTATTCTTCATTATTAATTTGACTAACTTTTTTCAGTTTTAAGCCCCTGAAATAATTACGAAAAGATTAAAACTGGTATGTATAATTTTAAAAAGATAATGTATATATTATGTAATACAAGAAACAAATGAATTAAATTATATCCCTATTCTCCAGGACCAACTGAAGAATAAATACATCGTATTGATCTTATGGCTCCAGCTTCTGGATATATGTTTTGGTAAGTATCTTTTTCATTATACAATGCCGGGTTGAACTGAACAGTTTTTTTTTCAATTTCTTCATCTGATGAATATAAATTCCTTAGATATCTTTCTGTAGTTTAAACCTATTTTGTCGTGCGAAATTATGATTTTTAGAAATCTTAAACACACTCTCAATGATTAATCAATGATTGTTACTTAGTCAATGAGAAAATTTTAATTTTTGAAAAGAATTAAGGTAAATAATAGCTAATAATTTCGTAAAGGATGAATGTTGATAATTTTTATTTGGTGTAGAGATTAAATTTCCGTGACGTCAGCTGATGGCGATCGGGCCTTGGGACGAAATTCGAAGTTTGCTTGAATTTTAGTTGTAAGCATTATAAACGCGTTGGATTTAAACTTTAGGAAGAAATATATCAGCGAGAAATATCATATTTGAACCCAATGCTACACGCAAACCGGTAGGCATATCCAATTTATGTGTTAAATTCAAGCCTGAATCGAGGAAGGGGTCAAAATGGCGTTGCACACCTTGTGTATTTATATATAGAGGGGGTAGAATTTTTCGATATTTGGCTTAATTAGCGACTTATTGATAAAAATTCAGGTGCCTGTGTACGTACTCACACTGTCGACAAATATGTGCAACAAACGAAAATTGTTTTGCTTTCGTACATAACAACAACACAGATTTTTGTGCAGTGACCGACCAGCGAGTTTTGTTTTTAATTTTTTGCAATGACTGTATGGCTGGCAGGAAAAAAGGATGTGAAACGTGTGAGTAAAAAGTTAAATAAGAAAAATTGCAGTTAAGGTCAACTTTTAAAAAACTGTATGCTTGACCTCTTCCGACAAACTGAATAAAGACGCTTGACAATTTTTTTAAACATCCAGGAAACGATTCTTTTTTCTCATTCCATTAAAAACATTTGCATTAAAAACATGCCCAGTATTTACAAGTGTTTTTTAATATATATTCCCCCTACCTATCACAAGTATCAGGCCATTTCAATCTTGAGACGGGAAAGGGCATGCAAAGTTTAGTGGTATACTTGGGAAGCATCCAATGGTATAATTAGGAAGATCTGGACAAAAAGAAATGTTTTGGAATTTGGAAAAATCGTTTCATTTCAAAAGGTACATATCTTGTTTATCGAGCATTTTTTAACATAGGGTATTGGTTATATTTTTAAGGAAAAATTTTAAGGAAAAATGTTCGAAGACATTTGCGTATTAAAGGTACTTGGACACAGATTTGAAGTTATTATTTTCTCTATAATATTACGACTTATATATTTTAATAGCATTTCACACAAAAATTAATTAAAAATCTTATTTCGTTTAAAAGATATTGAAATTTCAAATTTTTCGGCGGGTTTGATTGACATATCCTTACACTCTCACAAATTTAATTTTATTCTTAATCCTTAGGAAAAGTGGCAATCTCGTTTTGTATAAATGAAAAATATAAATACTATAATCCAGAAAATTCAGAGTAGACACGTTCGAAAGCAAAACAAACACACAATATATTGTCAGTCCGTGCAGTTGTGGTAAGCAGACTGTGACGATTGAACGCACCCGGTGAATTCTAAATATAAACAATAACAGAACTCGAGCCCTGTTTACAAAAACTGTGTACATAACACGAGTGTGCACGATTTGCTAAACTCTGTACGCATCTCTTAGTTCGGAATGACGATACTTGTGAAGGTGTTTTGTTTCTAACATTTCTACTCTGAATAAAATTATTTTTCTTGATAAAAGTTTTAATATTTCTCATTAAAACACATCAAAATTGCCACTTTTCCTTAGGCTTAAGAATAAAGTTAAAATTTGTGAAAGTGCAAGGATGTGTCAATCAAACCCGCCAAAAAATTTAAAGTTTTAATAACTTTTAAATGAAATAAGATTTTTAATTAATTTTTGTGTGAAATGCTATTAAAATATATAATTCGTGATATTATACAGACAAAATGAGAAAATATTAACTTCAAATCTGTGTCCAAGTACCTTTAAAGAACTTCACTGTTGTTAATTACATAGAAAAAAATACACGCTAATGCTTTTAAATCTGTTTTTGTAAAAAACTTTATATAATTTCAAATTATATCATTTATTTACTAACGATTTTTACCTATTCCACCTAAATTAAAGGACAGATCACTCTCATTGCATTAAGCTGACATCGAGTTAGACGCTTTAACTGAGGCTGGAGTCAAGAGGGAGAAATGATATAACATTTCAGTGCAAAAACTTCAAAATTTTTTTAGATGTCGCTTGGAAATAGAAGTTATACATACAAACAGAATGTATAATTTTTTACCTTGATCTTGACTTTTTGTTTTAAAAATCGACAGTGGTCTTCTAAAGGTCACTGGGAGTCAATGGGAGTTGTGGAAAAAAATGTTTTAGCAAAGGTTCGAAGGCTTTTCGAGGTATCGAGCGGAAATGAAAGTGTTAAGACAGACAGAATTTATGACCTCAGATCTTTTGACCTCAAAATCAATGATAAGGGTCTTATTTAACTTAAAGGGAGTTTTTATGTAATTTTTATTGCAAAGGCTCCAAGGCCTATCGAGATATCGCGCAAAAGTTACAGACTGACGGGAAAGACAGGCTGAACAAAGGACGGACGGACAAACAGACAGACACGAATTTAAAAATATCCCACTTTTTCAGTAAAAGCGGGTGACAATAAGAAAAAATAATAATAATGAAATATATAATTATGTCTCTGATGACGCTTTTCCTCACAAGGACAATGAACAATGCGTTAGATATATTTAAAAAAGGTCGAACACATTTTATCGCAGTTTTCCCCAAAAGTTGTCCTACTCTAATATTCTCCCGTATTATCCAGAATTTAGTATCTGTGATTAAATTCAAGGTGAAAATATAAAAAAGAAAAAGTGAAACACCTCAAAATGTATATAAGGTAGTCATATAAAATATCCCTTAGGGTTACGATGTTAGAGAAAGACATACAAAGGATCACTTCATTATAAATAGGGATCTGACCTATAGGACCGGGCTTGGTTTTTTTCTCTACAAAACGCTTGTCGATTTCCGTTCCAATTAATGACATTAGGCTGAGTACATAAAATAATTTGTTTTTCCTAAATATTTATTTCAGTGAGTAGAGGTAGGAGGAACCCTTTCATTGATTTTCTGAGTTTGTTATTTCTAAATGTAAAAATTGATATTTGTCTTTACTTCTCATTGTGCATAAAGGTAATGTCTACTGTCTCTGAAATTCTATTGTTTATGTCTAGGCTATTTATCTTTGGATATAATAAAACATGTCATTAATGTGTGCAAATTATATAGGTCTAAATGAAATCCAAGGGAGTGCATTTACTGAAATATGTAGCCAAAATCAATGTGATTAAATTCTAAACAATATATACAATTGAAATTCATCGCAGCTCAATGCTGCCAAGCATACCTGTATTGAGTAACACATAGTGAGTTATTCTTGTCCTCGGAGAAGGTGTGCTATAAAACAGATTCGTTCCACCTGACTGACAACTGTACATTGGATTGTTATGATTTGATATCTCTTTAGTGTTTCTTATATCAAGAATGGGCATGCATAAAGGATAGATAATTGAAGGAAAAATACACAAGTCTATAAAGAAATTAAAATAGTCTTTGAAAGAGTGAAATTTAAAACCTTTAAAGTGTTGTACCGGGTGGATTCGAACCCCCTGACTTCAAAAAGGAAGTATCCAAGGTGTAAAAGTCTGCGAGTATATCAACTGAGCTAGTCTGACTATATTAATGAAAGACATAAATTTAAAGCAGATTATGAAAGTCGGGTTTCCTTAGTTTTGTAGGTTTTTTGTGAATTTTGACACCAGGGCAGGGGTGCCCCTAAAAAAATCTTATCATAAATTATTCCTTACATCCTAACCTATCAAAATATCACAATTTCATTTAGGGGCAGGCCTGCCCTGAAGGACTTCAAGGCCAAAATTCATGCAAAAATCAACGCTTTAAAAGGGGGATGTACGGCCACTTTTAGTGCAGTGAGAGCAAAATGTAAACATTTCTTCAAATGGCTAAAATACATTATATTTTGATCAAATTTTAAGTCTTTTTGATAAAGATACAATAAATATGCATAACCGAATGCATGTTGTGCATATATAATCTATACTTTTGCAGAAAAATGTTTTTGATATGCTCCTTAGAACTGCGCAGCTACAGAATTCAGCAGAGCCTTAAAAAATCCAAAAAAATATGCAAACTGTGCATTAATGTTCTCTCTACAACCATTTGTTGAGAAAATGTCTAAATTTTGCACTTTTAAATGATAATTTCAAGTTCAAAACAAGGTACCATTGTCTTCAAAAAGAGTGTAAAGAACCATGAAAGTAGTTCATGGATAGCAGCACGTGGTCTATTTTTAGCACAGAATCTTGTTTTCCAGACCTCTTCTTAATATGGAGGGGCATAACAATCTTTAAATGTAGAAGAGAATTACAGTTGCAAAATATTTCAAATAATATGAACACTTTTAAAAGAGGAAAGGTATTATAGTGTGGCTTGAAGTAATTTATTTAGTTTGAACATAATTTTTTTTTCTATTTGCCCATATTTTCAAAATTACAATTGTACAAAGTAAAGAGAAAAAATCAACCTATAAACATCTTTAAAATGATGTTTGGTGGTCCTCCCAACTCAGGGAAAAATTATTGGGTCCGTATTTATAGGTGAGAAAAAAAATCCTTAAAATTTAAACAGAATTGTTTACGGAAGAAAAAGAAAAAAATATCGTGTAATGGAATGTTAAAAAAATGAGTCGGGCCATTCCTAGGCAGTAGATCGGGAGAGAGGGCAACCAAATATTTTTATAACAAGTGGTATTATAAGGCTAGTACATGTTCCATCACATACTTAGTAATGCAATTTTTTTTAATCTTTGACACTATTTTGAAAAACAAACAAAGGATTTTCGGGGGAGGGGGGGGGGGTTAGTACTCACTTTTTTGCGATGATAGACATAGCATATGCAATGGACCTTTCATTGCAAACATTGTGCTCGCTTCTAAATTTCACAGAAACAACTCGTTATATTTTATCAAGCTTCGTATGTTCAATGAGCGAGAGCTTACAACGTTGTCAACATAATGAGACATGATGCGTTTTTGTGTCCAAACATGACCCCATACAATGTGTGGGTCATTGCAAACATTCTAGCTATTTATGTGAGGTGCCTGAAGGAAATCCTATAACTGCCTATTTTTTCTATCTAACTTATAAACAAAATAGACATATGTACCAACTTTTCGAATGTAAGACATGTAATTACAATTTATTTTTCATGCACTGCGTATTGTTTAACATTTTCAAATTAAATGCTAAGCATCCTCCTTGCAGTGCCCCATTTGAAAATAACTTCTATCGCCACAGAAAAAAGACCCACCGTAAACACATATGTTTAGGACATTTTTATCTTTTTTTCTTGAGTTTTAAAGAAACCAACAAATTATCAAGACTTGTTCCATAAAAATTAAATATAATCATGGTAATAAACGGATTTATCCACAGCAGATATATGCACATGCCAACCATGTGCTTAGTGGAATAATATTAACGAGGAATTTCGAGTTGTAAACAGAACAGTTTTTCCCGATTTGCTGGAGTGAGGTTAAAATCGCGTTTTTTCATTAATCAGACGATGCGATGCAACAAATAAAAGTAGTAAGTAATATAACCTAATGATTATTACTTAGTAATTTCTTGTCTTGGTGTTATTATGGTTGCATTTA